TCATTTCAAAAGACTTTATGCTGGCACGTCTAAGAATAAAAAATTACACGATACCATATTTGGTACGTATTTTATTTGATGAAAGTAGTGTTAGGGACGAATTAACTAACCTTATTTCCACTAATAAATAAACGATTTTTCCCATCATTATACGACCAGATGTGTCGGTGTCACAGCGGTAGAATACTCGCCGACCACACATGTGGTCAGGGGTTCGACCCCCCGACCATCAAGTTTTGCTGTTGTTATTCTTCTTATATTTAAAGTCTCCTTGTTTTTTGTTTTTACTGTTATAACTGTAAACACCATTTAAGCTCTGTAATAATTCCTATTTTTTGGTTTTCTCCTCACCATGCTATATCAACGGAACATTACATTTAATACTCTATAACATGCTGAAATTTCCATTTATTATTATTATTATATCCTTTAATTCCTAGAGGAACCTAGGGCTTCAGCCGCCCGTCTCCATTGCATTTTGTTTTCTGCCAACTTTTTCACCCCACTCCAAGTCTGCCCACATGCTTTCATCTCCTCCTCGCATGACCTGCTCCAAGTCACCCTTGCACTGACGAACAACTCGCCACCCGCTTCCCTTTCGGGTTCCACTCGGTCAATGACATGTCTAGTGATGTCACTTGATGGTTTCCTCAGAGTATGGCCAGCCGATCCATCTCCATTTCTTCCCGCCTATTTGTTTCACAATCGGTTCTTGCTACGTTGGTTCGCTCATTGCCTGAGATCCCACCCTGTTGCTGATCTTTTCTGACCGACCATCTGATCTTGAGTATTGAGCAAAGACAACTGGCAATGAAGGTCTGGAGTTTGTTTGAGATGCTCTTCATGACGCGCAATGCAAGTCTCTGATCCGTATAGTGAGTGGCACTGACTTACTTCACATTGGAGTTGAAAATCCGGATCTTATTTTTGATGGTGAGTGTTGTGGACATCCACACAGACGTAAGAATAATGAAAGCTTGTCTTGCTTTTCCGATGATCCTTGCTTTGATATCCTCGTCAGTTCCGCCCGCCTGTAGTTGAAACGATGCTTCCCAGGTAGGTGGGTAGGTGAAGGAGGTTGTTTCTTTCAGGTTCCTCCCACTTTTGCTGGCTGATTGTTGTCTGTCGTTGTTGTTGCTTTTGCTGTTAGCCAGGAATCTTCATCAGCTCTGTTTTCTCTATGTTCACTTGAAGTCCTATCTTTGATGCTTCTTCTGCCAGCTTGTTGCTTTCCACTTGCATATCTTCCAGTTTGTTGGAAATCAGACATATTTCATCATGGGCGAAGTCCAGATCCTCCAAGTTTTTTGTGTGAGTCCATGTTATGCCCGTTTCCTCATTGCCCGTAGTCTGTCGCATTATCCAGCCTACTGTAATCAGGAGGATAATTGGCGTTAGAAGACAGCCTTGCCTCACTCCCGTCCTCACTTCGAAGGATTCCGTAAGTTTCCCGTTGTGGATAACTTGGCATGCAGCATTCTCATATAACTGTTGGATGAGAGGTATAATTGTCAATGGGACCCCGTAGCAGCGAAGTAGTTGCCAAATGACCACTCGATCGACACTGTCGAAGGCCTTTTCAAAGTCGATGAAGTTGAGATAGAGTGGTGACTGACTGCCATTCTAAGCTTTGTTCAATGATGATCCGTAGAGCGGCGATTTGATCAATAAATGATTTGTTTCTCTTGAATCCAGCCTGTTCCGGTCGAAATTTTTCATCTAGGGCTTGTTTGATTCTCTCCAGGATGATGCGGCTTAGTATTTTGTTCGGGATGGACAGGAGCATAATTCCACGCCAGTTTTTGCATTGACTTAAGTCTTCTTTCTTTGGTAGTTTGAAAAAGTATCCTTTCTTCTAATCCTCGGGTACTTTGCTCTCTTTCCACACCTTCTCCAGCAATTGCGTCATCAAGTCCGCTGCTGCCCCTGGGTCCATTTTCAATGCTTCTGCTGGGATTCCATCTGGTCCTGCTGCTTTTCCAGCTTTTAGCATCTTGATTGCATCCATACTGTATCGAAAATACTGTCTGAAACAAACCCACTGTTGTCATTATTACAGTTATTATTCTCATTTTATACTTCGCCCATTTTTTGACATTACTCCTAATATATTTGCGGAAAAGTTCCTGTGGTCAGTTTTATTTATATTCAGAGTAAATTAGATGCAGTATTATGACAAATGCTGAGAAATCCATTCTCTATTACAGGTACTCTTTTTGGAATAAAGCAGATTATTATTACTATGCTTGAGGAGTTTAAAAGAAAATTGATGGATGTAACTATCAGAGTGAAGTTTTGATGTAATTTCTCCATCTACCAGTATTCCTCTGTGTGTGTGTGTGTGTGTAATTTACTTGATATAAGGAAGTATGAACTAGGAAACAATCAAGAAATAGAAGACATGATAATAAAATGCTAAAACTTTTGTTTATATTCTACATATTTTACCTTTAAAGACAAACTATACTGTCGAATGAACGGAGATCCAAAAGATCACCAGCATGTCCGACTTTAGCAAGTCCTTATGTGAGAGCTCTCAGTCAAAAAAGGAGTACTGACAAGTTTTATTTGTCACCCTAGAGTATAGTGCAGATATGTATTATTATCGTGTTTACGCGTTTGACCACGGATTGATATCAGTTAGAGAGCCATTGAAAACCAGGGAGTACTAGACAGCTGCTGTTTCATCTTAGATTGGGAATCATTGGCAGTTCACATCCACTGGGAATTCGAACCCAGGACCTTCCGGTTACAAGGCAAGCTCGTATGTCATTCAAACCCCAGTGAGTGCGTGCCACTGATGATTCCCAAAGTAGAATGAAACAGCTGTTCAGTACTCCTTGTTTTTCAGTGCTGCTCTAACTGATATCAATCCTTGGTCAAACTCACAGATCTAATCCTTACAAACCAACTCTTGAATATTAATTATTATTATTAATTAAAAAACTTCCTACAACTGATCAGCAACATTTCAAAATGTATAGAGTTTACTAATGAATTTAAATCGGATGAGGGAACTATACATTATCTCCATTGTCTGGTAAAAAGACAAACAGATGAGCAGCTAAAATTCATGCTATGAAGAAAACCGACACATTCAAACAAGTATTTGAATTTCCAATTAGACTATTCAATAAGAGTGAAATTTTTAGTAGATTTGAATCTCGTAAACAGATAACGATGATACAGAGAACGAGATATCCAGTATAAAACAAATTTTGACTGGGAATTGTTATCCGGAATAGTTTCTAAATAACATTATCAATAGGAATGGTGGGAAGATAAAGAAAGATGAAAAATCCTCGGAGTCGACAATAGTCATTCCATATCGATAGGACACGGCTAGACAACCTCAAAGAGGACCCGCTTCATATACTTTTAAAGTCCATTTCTAGCTTCTAATTCTCTTGAGAAAGCTGTGCGTCGGTGGCACAGTGGTTAGGACTCTCGCCGACCATGCACATGGTCCGGGTTTCGAGCCCGCACCGACGCACATCTGATATCTATGGTCGGCCTGCAAAATTTGGGCTACCGATATCCATGCTGAAAATTCCATACTTGTGCCAAAAATACAGTGTGGAATCAAGCTGTAAATCAAGAAAAAAGCTTTGGTGAGCGTCAAAGATTAGTTTCTCAAAAAGAAACAAAACAACCATTTCTATAGGTTAAAGTGTTGAGAATGTGAGGCTTTCTGTTTAGGGGAAAGCAGTAGACAGATGAAAGACAAAGTGAATGAACACAGACTGTGCACAAACGTCCGCCTAGAAATAGAATGGAATTAAAGTCTTGAAAATAAATCAGCTATGTCAATATACACGCTACAGGAAGTGGATAGAAGATTGTTTTTGACACTGTCGAAAAACTGGTAAAAGACTTTCATTCACATACTGAAAGTATGTTCTGAATCCTTGCATGTTATAGCTATATAGAATGCGAAAATAGAAGAGAAGGCATAAAATTATCACCTATCTGGCAGTCTCTGATGAAGCAAAAGAGATGAGAGAAAAAACGGAAATATTCAGTCCTATTTTATGACCTCTGTAAACATATTATCGTGTTTGTCACATATGAACTGCCGTGTTTCCCGTATAACAAACAACTTACACACACTCACACAGACCAATACGCGCATATATGACAATTTGACATTAGTCTTTACAAATATAAGATGACTGCTTCTATATTTTCCTATTGGTACAAATGTCTACCAACATGTAACCTTCAAAGGAATTCACTTCAATATATGTGACTTTTTGATATAAGGATAAAACTTAGGCACTATGGTAGAGTATAACTCCATTATGGATAAAATTTTATTTCGACTATCTATTTTGATGATGAGTAAAATCTGAATAATTCTGCTGATTAAGCTGTGGCTTACACAGCGAAACGTTCAGAAAAATCTTGTTTTGACTTTTCTCAAACATCCTGGGATTATTTTGAGTAACATATAATGATTTTATCTGACTCTGCGCTCAAATTATTCCAGGAAAATTGTAACATCTAACGTCTGAATATTTATAAGTATGACTCATTGTTTTATGAATGAATTAGACACTTGACTGTACGAATGATTGTAAATCAACACAAAGAACAATATCCGAATTCCCGACACTGATGTCAAGTTTGTGCTTCTATGTGGTTCAGAGTATAAATGTTATTATTATTTATAATTCTTCAGTCATTTAATTAGCATTGGAGAGTTAGAAGAAAAAACGAGTTGCTTAAGGCTTTTCATTGTAATATCTGAAATTCCTTCTTCTGAATGAGTGTAAAAATCACCTCTAGGTGGTTTAGGCTGCAGACTGACAACAAGTAGTAAACTTTTGAAAAACATACTCAAGCGGTACAGAACTTACATTCCCTTCTACCAATTTCAGATTTGTCATCAGAAAGCACTAGAAGCCTGTAGTTTAATCAAATCTAAGACTACAGTTTTGTTGTTAATTTTATTAGTAAGACAAGGTTGGCTGGTATTCAGGGTATTTAACAAGGCCTACCTTGACTGTGTCTTGTTCAATTAACTGTTTGAATGTTGTAATTTCACCTCGCAAACCAGTAACTGTTAATTTCGCCGCCAGATTAGCTGAAAACATTGCAATGATAATGAGAACTAACAACCAGAGTCCAGCGACTAGGACACGCGTTGAAGCTGAACGTGGATCCATGTATTCACCTATGGAAGTAAAATATTGGGAAAAAATATTTATCTGGAGCTTATTGACATTTCAGATTTACAGAAACTTGAAATTCGCTAATATATTGTGACATATTTTTAGTCAGTTAGCCTAAATTCGTACTTGATGATTTTCTAGTCAACATATGAACATTTTTAAGAATAAATTTTAAAGTGGTTTCAATCGGTGAATAGTATATCGACAAATGATATCAGTAATTGTGCTGCAAACCGTTAAGTAGAGTTCTTAACTAATGTCACTGCACTTAAGTAGTAATATTATGTGTGATTTGGGGAATGGTGACTACCGGTAGGATCCAGGAAGAGGGACTTCTTCCTACCTGACGAGTTCCAAAGGAGGGTATAAGCGTCTTAGATCCTACTGTTATTCTCCAACCACCAAATTACTTCAGGTTAAACTTCAAACATCGTCAAAGAACCCGACTAGGAGCTAGCATGTCAACAGAGGGAAAACGTTTCGGTACAATCCACCAACGTGAAAATCAGAACTGAATTAAAAATATGATTTTTTAAAATGTCATTTTCGGGAGCCCTTACTTAGTTAAGTGATTGTATGAAACCAATGAAAGGCGATGGAAGCCCCCATGCTGGTCTTACAACCCGCTTAGTTAATTCTGAACTGAACTGAAGGGAAAATATTTAACTAGGAAACCGATCAAATGAATTTAAATTACGTGAACAACCTTCATTCACAAGTTAGTCAATGAAAATACTTAGTCACTTGTTTTGTATCATTACTTGGCCAATGCTGTTGCACTCCTTCCGTATGCTTGTGGTTGTCGTCTGGGTGATTGAAGTAGATTACTGACTCTCCAACTGACAATTTGGATAGTTAACATCAATCAGACTTTCGCTGACGGGTTGCAAGCACTTCTCTGTCATATCATATCATTTTCTGGGTAGCAATTCTAGCTTTGTACTTTGTACGAACATTCCACGTCCCTAGCCTTATTTTCACCTGTATGGGAAGAAGATGTGTTGGCTGACTGGCCTTCCGAAGGCTTTACCAGCCCGCATCTACCTGTTTATCTCAATCCAGAGAAGAATACATTTTATTTTTATACTTTCCTTGTGCTTTGAAGTTTCTGTAGCCACTGGATTGATTTTCCGTTGTGCAGTCACAATCCCCACACCCAATCTTCGCTGCTTTCCCAAGCTTAAGACCGGCTAGAAAGCTAGCGAACTTGTCAACTCTGGGAACCAACCGATCAAATAAATATGTAGAAGAAATCGGAGGTGGATTGGACACACGTTGGCGAGGCCATCTGGTGATATCGCACACCAGGCAGAGCCGTGAATGGAAGCCGAATGGGAAACGATGAGTTGTGCGTTGGTCAGCGGCTAATATGGAGGAGTTCGTGTGAGGAGTAGCCCAAGGAAAAATAGTAATATATAGGCGAAAATTTCCATATATTTCCAAACTAAACAGACATTATATAAGATGTACATATCTGAACCACTTACCTTGTTGAGTACATGAACCTAAGACATACCATAAGGCTTCTTTCACCGTAAACACTGTACCCATTGATTCACCATCGCCTTCTTTCAGTTGATTCTGATAACTGTACGGCGAATACTTATCAATAAAGGCCAACATAAAGCCAATCAGAAATACAACAACCACAGTAGTCACCCATACATCCCTTTACAATTAGATCAAGAAAGTGTATTCATAAAAAGTTAAAGAATTTGACAATATATATATATATATATATATTAGTGATCACTACTCAGTCACGTTTACTAAAATCACAACGACAGAAATCATACTGTACTTCAGACTGATACCAATAATTGTTGGAGTGTTAATGAAATATTTCCATAGACATCAACTGTCGTTGAACGTCTTGTTTAAAATTCTGATAACAATACTGATAACGGTATTTGAAAAATATACGCTGTACAGAATTCCCAACATGTTATGTAATAACATCTATTGCGAAGTACTCCTTGAGAATCCTTCTGATATCTATATTAGTCTATGTGAGTATTGCACATCGGGATCTAAGGATGTAATCCGATAATTGAAGCAACATAAAACGGAGAAAATAAGACTCATTTCGGTAAATTAAAACTTGGTAGTCGAGTGATTTTAACAGTTCTCCAATTTTTCACTTTGTCATAACTGTGTCATATGTGCCACCTTGGGTGTAGATGCCATGGTATATCTTATGTGAATTTATAACAATTCAACTATTGTCTCCAGTGCTACTTTACCAAAGACCACCGATGAATTGGAATTCCTAACTAAGGCTTCATTTTCCCATGAAGTGGATAGGAAGACCTCAGATTTTATTAGATGGTCGGAGGCAATCGGTAGAAAGCCTTGAATTTAGATTTCGTACTGGTGGCACTCTCTTAGCAAGGTGTATCCACAGTCTTGAAGGAACTCTCGTTCCCTCTGAGATTTGAACCCCTCATCACTCACTGCTACAGTCAGAGACATTACCACTAGGCTTTTTGGACTCGCGAACGGCTTCCTGAAGGACTGTGATGGATACTTCTATTGGACAGTAGGTGAGATTCCAGCCGATTGACTCCAACCCTCTATTAACAATAATCCAGTGTACTCCGTGATGCGAACCACCTAGCATGTTGATCACATTGCAAACTTGACTGACAGAATTCAGTCTGCGGCAAACAAAGGACTAGACGGGTGACACTAGTTTCTACCCAATGTTCAATCAACGACCTAAATTGTTTGCTTACATAAAACATGTTTGAATATGTAGTGATGGATGTTTAACTCTACATAACACTTAACATACCCAGTTAGAAATATCAGCAAAATAACTGGAGTTAAGATATCTAAGTCAATAAGCTGAGAAAGGCGAAAATCTGCGCCAAAGTAGACAACTGTCGCGAATGCACCACAGAAATCGAAATGTTCAGTAGGAGCAGTATAGTGAAATTCATAAGTCAAGCTATATTCAAATGAAGGAATGTTAGAAGTGGAGTAAGAGTGTTAAACAGGACGTACGGTAAGTTGAAGGCTAAGGAAACACTAAGGTTATGGCTGATTCAGGGATTCAAATAAGCACTTATATATCAGTTGCCGGTTTCACGGTGAATTCATGCCTATTGGATATTTCTTCTGTAACTTTTAAAAGGATCACCAAATGCACACCCACCATTGTGCTTGTAAATATTCGACATGAAAGCATCCATCTATACGCATCACACTTCCTAGAGTACAACAATAGTCTTGAAAACTCATTTTAACGGTTTTACGTGTTTCTTGAAGATACAAACATAGGCAGTTGGTAAGATTCTAAAGATCTGGAGAACTGTGAGTCCTGGATTCTTAGAGACAGCAAATATTAGGCAGTTAATTTCTGTTCCGAAAATTCTTCAACTATTGCCTAACCCTATGGTTAGCCTTCGTCTGGGGGCGAAACAATCAATATGTTATAGATATTTCTTTCAAGAATTTGAGTTGAAAAGCATATTAGATATGATAATAATTTAAAAATATAACCCCAGCCTGTGTAGGAAGTCGAAATGTTCTTTATTCTGTCACTGCGTAGGGAATCCAATAACCAACGTGAAGAGACAAATAAAACAATTGGCTGATCACTTCAAACGACTCTTGAATCGATCATGTTCACCTACAACTCGCCAATAAATACCACCAACAGCAATTGGCGTAGAACTGCTTGCCAACAGACGACAATCCTCCGACAACACCTGAAGTCTTGAATGCAATCAAGCTACTGAAGACCAACTGGGAAGGCAGTCGGGTTAGATGGAATTCCTCCACCGACCCCCATGAAGTCCTGAAAACGGACCCAGGGACTACCGCAGATGCACTCATGCCATTATTGAAAAAGGCCTGAAAGGAATGAAGAAAAGGTGCCTACCGATGGGAAGGAGGGCTGACTACACTGTCAAACTGCCAAAGTAGAGCAACCTAGATCTTACTCTGCAACAACTGGTGTAGAATAATGCTGTTGTCCACGTTAAGTAAAATACCAATTCGTATCATCCTGGAGAGAATGAAAGATGCACTGATTACAGAACTACGCCCCACCGACCAGAACAAGGTGGCTGGATTCAGAGAGGGAAAATCATGTGCTGGTCAAATTGCAACTATACGCATCATCATCAAACATTAATGTTGTTCATAACACTAATTCATTCATTCACTATAATATATATTTTACTGTAGAGCCTGATTATGAAGTTATCGAAAAGAGTACTCTTTGTTCAGTATCCATTCTTTTGACAATTATAGAATGGTAGTCAAATCTCTACCTCAACATCATCCAATTTGAAAAGCCCTCGAAAGCGTTGATTGAGAAGTAATTTGGGATTTGGTTCAACACTATGGCGTGCAGTGGGTAAACAAGTCTTTATCAACCTCGTTCAACAGCTAGCTATATGATAATGCCACTTGTCAGATGATCTACAACAGGAAACTCAGCGATGCGTTCGAAGTGAAGACGTGAAGGAACAGGACAAGGCTGCCTACCTACTATCGCCAGTGGAATTCCGAATTTTAGTGGACTGGATTATGCGTCAAACTGTGAGTGGGGAGCAAGGAGACAGGAGTACGCTGGACGACTGATAAGAAGATTCTAGAAGAACTGGACTTCGCGCGTGGATGGTTTATCTTTAATGTTATACAAACTCGAAGACCTACATGCGAAACCAACAAACTTGCAGGAGAAGCTGGTAGTGATGACAGGAATCCAAGCAAACATAGAGAATACGTGGGTGATGAAGATAACCAACCAACAGCAACAACAACCAGCACCAATCACTATCAACGGGAGAGGTCTAACAGAGGTTGCCAGGAAGCATCGTTTCCATCATAGGAATTTGGCACGGATAAGGATGTCAAAGCCAGCCAGAATCAGAAAGGCGCGATATGCCTTCGTCAACTTGAAACCAGTTTGGAAATCTTCATCATTACTCAGCATAAAGAATGAGATTCGGATTTTCAATTCAGTTGGTTCTTCTATGTGCATCAGAAACTTGACACACCAGTCACAGAAACTATTTCCAAAAGGCTAATTCAGACTTTTATTAACAGCTTCCTTCGCTGGCTCCACATTGAATGTCAAGTGGTCAGCCAGAAAGAATAAGTAACAAGACGTTCTGGGAAAAAAACTAACCAAGAACCTATCGTTCAACAAATATGTAGGAGAAAATGGAGTCGGATTGGTCACAAATTGAGGAGACCTTCGAATGACATCGCACTCAAGGCAGGCCATTGCTCGAATGCAATCGCAATAGAAAGTGACGAGTGGGTCATCCAAGGATGATGTAGAGGAAATCATGCGGAGAGGAGATGAGAGACTACCGGCGGGCATTGGTCCAGGTGGAATCGACAGTGGAAAATAGAAGAAAGTGGAGATTTGTTGTTGAACCCTTATGTCCCAGGGAACGAAGAAATAATAATAAGCCAATGTATAATCTATAATTTCCTCAACATATGTAATCGGTTTATATTCATAACTAAAACATGTAGTTAAATGGAACATAACATGAGACGGACGTGAATTTAGATTATATAAAGCCATATTTAGTGGATATAAACAACGATTAAAAAATTCAAACCAATCAAATATTGCGTTTTACAACAAAATTGTTTGATAAATGCGTGTCTTCCATTATGGGTAAATTTTGTTTTGATAAAGTCTCACAGTGTTATACAGTAATGTTTACAGTAAACATTACTGTATAACACTGTGAGACTTTATCAAAACAAAATTTACCCATAATGGAATTACACTCTACCACAGTGCACAAGTTTTATTCTTATATCAAATGCGTGTCTACTTATGAGTACCTCGTGACTTTCGTTATAATTTTCACCTGGTAACAAAGTGATATTATAGTCTTCAAATGAAAATTTTGTACAGATATTATAAAATTCTCCACTGCTGCTTACCATGCAAATACCTCAAGAAAAAACAATGCACCAAGTTTTAGGTCTTCATTCACCTTGTTCACCATTGTTATACCAACTGAATCATAATACGGCACTGTAAAGTCAACAATCAATGATCTTTCGGCATCTTGTACTAGTGGTCCAAGGCCAACATCAGTATTCTGGTTTGTCAAATAGAGTGCAGAAGCAAGTAGTTAATACTATTATTTTTTCTGTCGCAAATAATTACTATTATTCAAAGACAATTATTGTATTTTAATAAATTAGAACAATTGATTCAGAGAAAAGACTCTTTTCAACGAATGACAAATAATTTAGGTCAAAATTAGGTGTTAGAGTGGTAGCTGTCCGGTATATATATATATATATATATATACTACTGAGGCTCAATGAGTCATCTTATTTCACATATATTTCAGTAGCAAAGCATGGCATACTTAGGGGTACTTACAGCTGGTCATGAGGAATAATATCTATTGCCGAACTACCTTTAAATTGGATATTCAGACATATTATTTTTTCGTTCTCCCAACGGAGTAAGGCTTCATTGGTAAGATAACGCTCCCAACTTTGGGAGACTAAAATTTGGAAACTTATGAATCTTCCATTTCTTGGCAAATTCTTATTAGGACATACGGAAAATTAAAACAAGTGATTCCTCGAAGAGTCTGTTTACAACGAATTTATTATCAAACTGTACAATCGTTGGTTATGTACTTTATTAAGTAGTTCATGAAGTGCATAAATCTCAAACAGGTATAGAAACAATAACATTGGTAAGCATTTAAAGCACTGCTCACCAAGATGATAATCATAATAAGACAACATCACAAAAATTATATTGAATGAAATAAATAAGGGTGACATGTAAGGTAAAACTGAAAATTATTCAAAGTGAAATTATTAATAACAGTCTACATAATAATAAGGGGAAAATATATATAAACAGGATAAACAAAAAAAGAGCAGGAAATATATAGGGCCGTTGGAACAGATAGATTCAGACTATGAGGGTTGAGCGCACTTTTTCCATAAACAGAGTTCTGACTTTTCCATTTCAGTACCCAAAAGCTTCAGCAATAAAGATGAGTCGGATACGTAATGACTTCGATAAGTTATTTCCACTGCATAAATAACTTCAAATGAGGAGACTATAGAGAAAAAGCGACCAGATGTCCAATTATTGAACTTCTGATAGTACCACATTTTATTCTCGATAACTACTCACGATAGTGTTCTTGCATTGCTTTCGAATAAAACCCGAGTCGATTGACGGATATTCCTAGCTCCACATAAGCAGGTGAATTGATAAAGGCACACAGAGTTGGTCAACTGCAAGATCTTTTCCTTCAGGTTATTATTATTATTATTGTATCCTTTAGTTCCTAGAGGAACATAGGGCTTCAGCTGCGCACCTCCATTGACTTCGGTTTTCTGACAACTTTTTCAACCTGCTCCAGGTCTGTCCACATGCTTTCATCTCCTCCTCGCATGACCTCCTCCAAGTCACCCTTGGACGACCAACTCGCCGCCTCCCTTTCGGGTTCCACTCGAGGGCTTGTCTAGTGATGTCACTTGATGGTTTCCTCAGCGTATGGCCAATCCATCTCCATTTCTTTCTGCCTATTTGTTTCACAATCGGTTCCTGCTGTGTTGGTTCGCTCCCAGAGATCCCTGTTGCTGATCTTTTCTGGCCATCTGATCTTGAGTATTGAGCGGAGACAGTTGTTAATGAAGGTTTGAAGTTTGTTTGAGATGCTCTTTATGACTCGCCAAGTCTCTGATCCGTATAGTAGCACTGACTTCACATTGGAGTTGAAAATCCGGATCTTATTTTTGATGCTGATTGCTGTTGACCTCCACACAGATTTGAGAGTAATGAAAGCTTGTCTTGCTTTTCCGATTCTGGCTTTGATGTCCTCGTCAGTTCCGCCTGTAGTTGAGATGATGCTTCCCAGGTAGGTGAAGGAGGTTGTTTCTTTCAGGTTCTTCCCATTTATGCTTATTGTGGTCTGTTGGTGTTGTTGATGTTGGCTAGGAATCTTCATCACCTCTGTTTTATCTATGTTCACTTGAATTCCTATCTTCTCTGGATGCTTGTTCTGCCAACTTATTGCTTTTCACTTGCATATCTTTCAATCTGTGGAAAATCAGACATATATCACCATGGGCGAAGTCCAGATCCTCCAAGTCTTTTGTGTGAGTCCATTTTATGCCTGTTCCCTCGTTGGTTGCCGTTGTCTGTCGCATTATCCAATCAATTGCAATCAGGAAGATCATTGGTGATAGTAGACAGCCTTGCCTCACTCCCGTCCTCACTTCGAAGGCTTCCGTAAGTTTTCCGTTGTGGATTACTTGGCATGCAGCATTGTCGTATAACTGTTGGATGAGGTGTATAATTGTCGATGGGACCCCGTAGTAGCGAAGTAGTTTCCAAATGACCTCTCGATCGACGCTGTCGAAGGCCTTTTCAAAGTCGATGAAGTTGAGATAGAGAGGTGACTGCCATTCCAAGCTTTGTTCAATGATGATCCGTAGAGTGGCGATTTGATCAATACATGATTTGTTTCTCCAAATTCCTTCAGGTTACTGAACAGTAATGATCGACTAGAATACGCTATTCTCAAAGATAGAACAGGAAATGTCCTTTTCAGGGACTGTGAGACCCTTCTTTTCATGATGCCGGCAACTAAGTCACCTTTGAATCACAAGCTTATTTACCGCACTTCGTGGGTTACAGATATTAAGACACATTTCCTAGGTTTTGACTGTTTCTTCTTGTCTTGTATGAATGGACTTTTACTGTTGTATAGAATCCAGTATTGTGTTCCAGGAGATCATTGGAACAATATGAGTAGTAGTTATGTTTCAAATGGATTTCAAAATTATATTGAGGTACGTCTTTCAGAGATTTTAAGTATGAGCCATGTGAACCTTGGAAATAGGAGAATGAGACGTAAACAAATCGTTTTGAGTTATCAGGAATACCTAGATGTTTCTCTCACAAAATTATTATGAGTAGGATATTCAGTGAGGGGTTGAATAATCGAATTTTTAGTGAGCTTTCTGCTGACTTCTCCATACTGGTTCTATTGCTTATCTTTTTCCTAGTTACATTCTTATCAGGTTCACGATAAATCTTTCTTTATGTTTCTTCTTTCCCTCGTTTTAATCAACCTTTTAAAAAATCTGATGTGACCATCATGTTCATAAATTTTAATTAGCTCGATAAATTTCTTGAAAATATCTTTGGTTCTGCTGAGACATTGGAGTTTCTAACCCTTATTGTCGGATAACAATGGCGTGGGTTAAATCAGAACACAGTTTGTAATTAATGAACCAATTATTGTGGTTTAATGTCTTAAAAGTCAGAATCACTTTCACAGTTGTAAAATTGAACACATTTAACCATGTTCAGTATTTAAACTTCATCCTCATAATTTATGATTTAAATGCATCTAAAAAAATTATCAATGGCCTATGGCATATCCTCTGATTTCAATGTCTATTTGACTGACGCATCAATACAAAAACACTGGTATTATGTTATTTGGAGCAGCCAGCTTATGTATCGCATTCTTCGGCAGAAATTTAATGCAGCCAAACGTTAAGGAAAAGATACCACTTTTAGCTAACTGAATGTGTATTTTTCAGTTTACTTGTTCTTGTGGAGCTAAGTATATCGGTCGTACACAGTCTCAACTCCTAAAAGTGTTCCCGAGTACTGTCCAAGTTGGCTAGCCATAGGAGAAAAAAAGAATATCAGTAGCTGTATATTTGAACATCTTGTCTACTCTAGACATCGGGTACCCTAGTATGAGTGCTTCAAAGTGCTACACAGAGCTCCTCGACTTTGAATACACCATCTATACATAGCTGAGTTATTGGCTTTTCGGGGCCTGAAACTGAACCTCTGCGTTCAAAAGTACTACATGCATTCACTCGTCCTACCGTGGCTAAAGTAACATTCTTACCATGATTTTGCTTCATTTTACCATTATTATTACTATTTTCGTTGTCATTATTTTATTGTCACCCTATTATTGCCTATTGATGACGCCACATTTTTGTACAGATTTTTAAAAACACTTCACCGTCTTCCCACTAGTTTCTGTTCACTCTGCACAATTATATTGATCAGCCAACAGACACGCCTCCTACTTGATTCCAAATTCTGCCTGTTTTTTCTAATTTCGAGTTTGTCACCCATTCTAGATTACACCTTGCACTATGTAAAACACTTTCTAGAACAAATCTGTAACTATTCGATTACTTTTATGAATTCTTTGTTAAATATAACTGCGATTGTAAATCCTATGAAAAGGAATCGTTGAGAAGAAAATTTTCTTCGCTTTTTACCTCTTTTTGATATGACTAAACATGGGAATATTCCTTTCATATAGAAAACACGGAATATACACATTGGGTCATAGGAGTTATTAAGAAGACTATTGCAGTGAAGAAAATTTTCTTTTCGACGAAGTCATCATCTTGGCTGTACATTCGTGTATTTATATCAAATGGATAGGAAAGTTCCAGAATAATATCCTATCCATTTGATATAAATACACGAATGTACAGCAAAGATGATGACTTCGTCAAAAAGAAAATTTTCTTCGCTGCAATTGTCTTCTTAATAACTCATATGGAAATGTAAATTTTTAAAGTAACAAGGGATATAAGGAAAGAGACGTCATTGTTGCGTGTTTTTTTTATAAGAATATCCCCGAAAAGTGAAGCCATTAAGAAAAATGAATTAAGTATAAGTGTATGACCTTTTACTGGGCGCGACTAGGCAAATGTTCGAAGCTACAAACAGGTTGAGTAATTCGACTTTTAAATGCCAGTTCATCCACATATGAAACAAAAAGTTATACTCTATGTAAAACATATGTGCCAATAATAATAAATATGTTAGCTAGGCATTACCTTCCTGGCAACCTGACCAATAATTCCTGACCAGTGACCATTTGGAAGTCTTACACCGTAATCCCCATCAGTTTGTTCAACGAACGTATAATCAAAGTCTAAACGTCTCGCGATTTCTTTGAATACTTCTACACAATATCCTGTCCATTGATTTTCGCCTAAACGTACTGCATACGGTGGATCCTGTAGGCATGAAACAAAACTAAATTTTTGGGTTGTTTATACCTTAAACATTATGCAAGTTATCATGTATAGTAAAAGCAATGTTTGGTGAAGACTGAAGCCATTAGACATTGAAGGCAATCGAACATATACATAAGGCGAGGATTTTGCAAACAACTTACACAGAATATATATTGCAAAATTGAAGGAATTTTAATTTATTTATCAGAACATTTAGGTGATGACGAAGTTTCAAACACAATTTATTACTGCTCATAATCATATCACACATTACAACTACACAACACTCACACTTTCTTCTTCCAGTTCAATTTATTCCTTCCTATTCCTCGTACGAGTGGTAGAAGAATTCTCCAGTTGCCCGTGTGGACACGTTCTCAATCATTTACAACACATGTCGTATTCTCTCTCACTTGATTCAACAAACAAAGCTTCCATCATCTCTCTCTCTCTACACCCTGTTGTATTAGATTCTAACACCGTTATCTCAACTCATCCCACTGTGTTGTGTGTGTGTGTGTGTGTGTGCGTGTGCGTGTGCAATTGTATGTAGTGCTTGCCACAACTCAACTATTCTCCACATTTCTTATCTTATTCGAGTCAGTTAATCTGGATTTTGGAAGATTTCTTTACTCCACCTGTCTGATCATTGACCCTATTCTGCTACTCTCACCTATGCATTTCACCTGACAATCATTACAGCAGGGTATTAGATAAACTAAATTGTTGTGTTCGTTGGTCTCGTCAGACATGATCCTCTAACCAACAAAGTTTGTTTCTGTGTGAGATTGTGGGTTCATATTCCACTTTCATTCTTGCCTGCATTTCTGGGAATTCTATGTAAGATTTCCAAGTTTCCTGCTTTGAATGGAAGTACTAGTGATCATTTGAATTCTTTCCTGTTGGAGTTGTCATCATTCTGTGTACTTTTGTCATGATCGTCATTGTTATTATTATTATAACTTGTATTAATGTTGTCATTATGGACATAAAAATAGGACTTTGACAGTGTGGTAGAGTATAATTCCAATTTATTTTAATTTTTAATGATGTCTCACAGTGGTATACAGTCACATTCACTGGTAACCTTTCGAGCCTAATTTATTTCTCATGATCACACAATGTTATTCATATAACTTTCCCACCTCGTTTATATAGTTCCATTATTTTACACCTTTTAGAGTGATTTTTAGTAATACTTTCCATATCTATGGTATTGGCAAGATACGGAAGCCAAGGTACATTTTCAAGTGATCAAACCGATATATATTATTATGATTGCTCCCTTGGGTTCCTAGTGGAACATAGGGCTTCAACTGCACGTCTCCACTTGCTTCTGTCTTTTGCTGTACTTTTCATCTGCATCCATGTTAGTCCATACTCTTTCAACTCCTCTTCACAAGATCTCCTCCATGTCGCCCTTGCAGTGACGACCAACTCGCCGCTTCCCTTTCAGTTTCCACTCGAGGGCTTGGCGCGCGATGTCACCCAGCGGTCTCCTCAGCGAGTGTCCGATCCATCTACACTTTCTCCTGCATATTTGTTGGGCGGCGGTTGGTTCTTGTTTTGTTTGCTCCCATAGTTCCTTGTTGGTGATTCTTTCCGGCCCGGCCATCTGATCTTCAGTATAGAGCGAAGACAGTTGTTAATAAGGGTCTGTAACCTTTTGGAAATATTCCTTGTGACCCACCCGCCAAGTTTCTGATCCGTATAGAAGAACTGACTGACCTGACGTTTCTATTGAAAATCAGACCGAATATTGTTGTTGATGCTGGCTGAGTGACGAAGATTTCCAGATTGGTTTCAGGTCGATGAATGTGTTTCTCGCCTTCCAGATTCTCGCTCGATTTGACATCCTCGTCCGTTCCTTCGTTCCTGTAGTTGAGACAATCCTCCCTAGATAAGTGAGTGAAGTAACCTCTTTCAAATCCCTCCCATTGATGGTGATTGACGCTGGATCTTGCTGCTGTTGTTGTTGTTGGCTTGTTATTTTCATCACCTCCGTCTTGTCTATGTTCACTTGGAGTCCTGTCTTCGCCGGCTGCTTCTTCGACCAGTTTGTCGGTTTTCGCTTGTAAGTCTTCCATTTTGTGTGACATCAAACATAAATCATCCACGCACGAAATTCAGGTCCTCTAGGTTCCTCGCGTCGGTCCAGACAGGATACTCCTGTCTTCTCGTTTCCCACAGTCTGACGCATAATCCAGTCAGTCCACCACAATTAGGAATATCATTGTGGGTGATAATAAGCACCTTTGTCTGACTCCTGTGTTTACTCCGAACGCCTCGCTGAGTTTTCCCCCGTGCGGATCACTTGACATGTGCCGTTGTCGTACAGCTGTTGAATAAGGTTGATGAATATTTGGGGCATTGTACGCCGTAGTACTCGAGTAGTTTCCAAATTAATTCACGGTCAACGCTGTTGAAGGAGTTTTCAAAGTCTATAAAGTTGAGGTAGAGGTTTGATCGCAATTCCATGCTTTGTCCTGTGATGATGATGCGTAGAGTTGCAATTTGGTCAGTACCCGATATATATATATTCATATATGTTTAACTGTGAGAATATGTGAAAAAAATATTCTGTTGGAACACATTGTCTGTATCACACCACCACAGTATTAGTAATCAGTCATTCCTACTGCATGTGTTGGGTGTAGAATCGGAAAGTTGTGTGTTATTTCATATGATTATTAGAAATAAATTATGCTCGAAACATAAACAGTAGATATAACTGTTTTCGAAATAAATTTTCTCCACAATGCCATCATTATCATTACTTTTATTTTCACATTCCCTTACAATCTTCTTGATTGAATAGTCAGGGTAATTATTAAGTTTCAAAGCTTCGTGTATTTGCCTCAATTTCTGTCTTAGATTTTCCTTATTACTATTCATTTTTTCTGCCTAATCACTTAAACATTCTGCCTTTGCTATTTTCACTGACATATGGTGAGATGAAACAAAATCCATATCACCATTTTAGTGTATGGTTTTACTGTAAACAATGGTATTTAACTTTCCATATTCTCTCCCTTTTATGCAGCACTCTAACAGTGGAGGTTTCTATTCTTGGCCTTTCAATTCATAAGTGAACTGAATTGCCTCTACCTTCGAATAGATATGTTGGAAAATCTATCTGTGTCCTGTGTTTTGAGTACAGTGAATGTGTCATCTACACACTTCCACCGAACTTTGGGGTCTGGGGACCACTAACACTATATAGACGTATAAAGTAATGTATGTCTTCATAAACAAAATTCATTTATTAAGTTCTCAAAAAAGGGTGTTTTACTTAAAGTATACTTAAAGCATACTAAGAGGTCTGTAGGATGTTATTTTAACAACAAAATCTGCACCAATACTTCCAGCAAATTCATTGGTGGGAAACAGTTGTGCATTATTTTTTGCCTTCATTGTCAGTCCTCTGTGTCTTCTTATTGTGGGTGTGATAGTCGAATGACCAGGAGGAGATTGTAGTCTAGAGTTGAAGCCTCAGTTATAAAACATTGCTGTCATGTTGAAATGAAAGTGGAACAAACCGATAATTTCCAATACCACTCTCGTTAGAACGTTTTGGCAACGGAGTATTAAACCAAAGAGTTGCACCTGGAGTGGTGATGAATTTATGAGTTTACTCCACTGTTACTTCAACCTGACAACAATGTATTTCTCCAAAGTTTTGTAACTGAGGCTTCAACACACAAATGTAACATACTAGTGATAACTCGAAGACAAAATCTGTAGAGAGAAAACCGACGACCAACTGGAAATAAATAGACCTGTTTCTCTATGAAGAATGCAACACTGGTGAATAATACAGCCACTTATCTATTTAAATTTGCATAACAAGTAAACTACTAATTTAAGATATAAAAACTATATTTTGATTGACCGGAGCTTTGATCTAAGTTAAGGTCAAATATCATGTCAACATATCACGTTAGCAGTGAGTCATAGAATATCTCCACTTGTCCTAACATACATAAAACTGTAAACCATAGCCTGTGTACTGCATCATATAGTAATATTCTTTTGTCAATTGCTTTGTAACTAATGAACAGCTGGTATCTATTTTGAAAACAAATTATCCAATAGCTTCCTTACAATAAATGCTTAACAGTTCACTGTCAACATGATTCCACTGTTAGGATTCCCTTTGGTCTTGAGTGAACCATAGGAATTCACTAGCACATCCCAAGTATATCGCGATCTACACAGACATCTCCACCTGGTATCATGGTTCCGCGTGGTCTCTCATCTCTTCCTAACACGATCTACTCCACGTCACTGTCAGACACATGCCCAACTCGTCGTTTCCTATTCAAGTTGCACACGAGCGATTCCCTGACGCCAGATGTCCCACAATGGTCTCATCAGTGTCTCTCCCATCCACATCCATTTCCACCGGAATATTTCTTGAACAGGGAATTTTTGATTTATTTGTTCTCAGAGTTCCTTGTTCCAAATCACTCTCGACCGGCCGACTGGCCGACAATTCGATCTTCATTATACAGCCAGCGAAGTCACTTGTTGATGAAATTCTCCACTGACCTGTTCAAAATGCCTTCTGTGACGCACTGGTCATGTTTCTGACGCGCATGGAAGCAGTGACTGACTTGACATTGATGTTGAAAATTCGAATCGCCTTCTTTATGCTGAGTGATGCAGAAGATTTCAGAGTGATGGAGATGTGTCTTGCCTTCCCGATTCTGACTGGTTTTGACACCATCATCTGTGACTGTAGTTGAAACGATGTTGTCTGTATGAGTGAAGAGAGTGATCTGTTTTGAATTTCTGGTGTTGATATTGATTGATGCTTCTTGTTGTTGTTGGTCGGCTGTTTGGTTGGTTATTTTTATCACCTCAGTCTTTTTCTCTCTCTTTTCTTTTGAAGTGCTGCCTCCTCTGCTTTTCTACGAACTTATTGGTTTTCTTCCGTAGATCTTCGAGTTTGCGTGTCGTTAGACATAAATCATCCACCTACTGTTTTCCCATTGGTCCAGCATATTCCTCCCTTTTCGCTCACTACAGTCAGCCAATCCACCACAATCCTGAATATCATTAGTGACCGTAGCTAACCACATACTTAGGGAGGAATCCCGTCTGCTGCTACTGCTTTTCAAGCCTTCTGCAGCTTGACTGCATTCAAGACTTACTCTTTTGTTGGATGTCCAGTGGCAGTTATATGCCTGTTAGTAATAATTCTGAATGAGTTGTTCGTTTCAAGTGATCAATCTACTGATTCCCTGGTTCATCCTCTTTAATGATTATGCTTATTCTGGGTTAATCCCTTTCCGGATAAAGTTATGGTTATTTGATATAATGATTTGGTGTCTCTTTAACCTACGGCCTGTTCTGTGTTTTTTTACAGTGTGCCGTTGCAATGTATTTTGTCTTTCCTACCACTCTTTGTGTCCATGACAGCAGGATAAAACTAACTTATTCGGTGGATAATTCGCATATAATGTACGAGATTTAAACGTGAAAATTCATCCGAAATCGTAATACTTTTCAACAGAATAAAGTAATACAGTATGTTATACATCTACATAAAATTAGATTAAAACTTCAATACTCTTCTTACTGAAGACTTTACATTTGGGTATAAAATGAGTTGAAAAACAGTACATAAGCACACAGAATAATACGACCTTTCACAAACTGAAGTAGATTTAAATGAAGCGATGGTATTTGTTGCAGTGATTACGTGAAGCATGCGGATATCAAGCACAGTTTTAAATGTATTTAGTTTACTTTGAATAAAAGCAATAATTATATGAAAGTACTAATTTTTAGTCTGGTCATGTGAAATATACATCGTAAGTTATTTGTCAAGTAAAATAGACTAAGATGGCATCTTTATTCAATAATCACAATGTTTCAAATCAGTTGGTCTCAATTCTTACTTACTGTGTTCAAAAAGAATTTCAACGTGAAAGTTACATTTCACTCCTAACTAATCACATCACCACAACAGCTTTCGTGATAAGTTAAGACTTTTAGACAAGTCAGAAAGATTATATTTTTCTAGTTTACTATAGTGATGAATTTGCGTCGGTGGCATAGCGGTTGGGGCGCTGGCCGACCATGCACATGGTCCGGGGTTCGATTCCCAGCCGACCCACTCCTTTACCTTGCTAAGCCAGAAATACTGCTGGTAAAGAGCAAAAGTTGGGCATGAGGCTAGCAACCCCATCCTGTAAAATTAAACACAAATACAGAAACTTCAAGCCACTAGCTTGAAGCCCTATGTTCCACTAAAAAGGTGTAGGAAAAAAATAAAGGTGATAGGAATAATAATGATAATAATAATAATAATAATAATAATAGTAATCAATCACATGACTAGCTGAAGAAGTAACCTGCTTACATTTCCTTTATATTTCTCTTGTATAATTTTACTTCAATATTCACCCCTAACCTCCCGAATTCTCCACCATAATATGTATAAGTTAAGTCTGTTGGTCTATCTTGTATTTTGTCTGTAGTCCAACCTTGTCTTCAAGAGAAATCAGAACTCCACCTCTCTGACTAACTACTATATATATACAGTTACTCTTTTAACACTAAATAACTGTCTGCTTACATTATTTTTGAAATCACGTTGCTTATAACTTCAACTATGACTCGAAGCCATTGCAAAAAGTAAGTTCGAGAAATTTTGTAACGTATAACTGATTTATTAAGGATGTACGCAGTTGAAGAGAACCCAGGAGGTAAAACGAGTTCGTATTATCAAAACTGTAATTATGCTCGTTCTTTCTTTATTCAAAATTAAGACATTACTTTGCTTAAATTAATTAGGCAAGATTTAATCATGACAGTGAAAATCGTTGAAGGAGCTCACCGATCATCATTAATAATTAAAAGTCAAAAAAAAGTCGGAGCAAAGGATATTTTTTTCTACGAATTCCGCTTCTGGCTCTACAATTATATTTTCAGTGAACTCCAACTAATCTCATGTGTCTAGCCTTTAGTTTACTGAACAGTGAATTCCGTCAGTCAAGTATGCCATAAGGTCACTATGCTCTGTAGCTTTCCATAACGAAGTAGTGTGAACTATTGATATAAGGTGGTTGCAGGCAGTTGTCAGGATGCCTTGAACCTACATTTTGTGCTTGTCGACAATCACCATTAAGCAAGGCGCATCTGCATTCCTGAAGGCACTCATGTCCCTTCTGAGATTCAAACCCTTGACACCCAGTGCTGCAGAATTCAGTTGACAGTAAAAAAGAAGGACTGCTCACGTTACACTAGTTAGTGTCCAGTCAAAGTGTCTGAAACGCTCCTACAGGAAGTCAACTGCCAGCCCAGATAAATCAGTGGTAACGCCTCTGACTGCAACAATGTGTGACACGAATTCGAATCCCAGAATAGACATTAGTTCCTTCAAGATATATATATATATATATGTACAGGTACACCGCACAGATGATGGTGTCAAAACCAGTCAGAATCGGGAAGGCAAGACACATCTCCATCACTCTGAAATCTTCTGTATCACTCAGCATAAAGAAGGCGATTCGAATTTTCAACATCAATGTCAAATCAATCACTGCTTCCATGCGCGTCAGAAACATGACCAGTGCGTCACAGAAGGCATTTTGAACAGGTCGGTGGAGAATTTCATCAACAAGTGACTTCGCTGGCTGTATAATGAAGATTGAATTGTCGGTCAGTCGGCCGGTCGAGAGTGATTTGGAACAAGGAACTCTGAGAACAAATAAATCAAAAATTCCCTGTTCAAGAAATATTCCGGTGGAAATGGATGTGGATGGGAGAGACACTGATGAGACCATTGTGGGACATCTGGCGTCAGGGAATCGCTCGTGTGCAACTTGAATAGGAAACGACGAGTTGGGCATGTGTCTGACAGTGACGTGGAGTAAATAATGTGAGTAAGAGATGAGAAAGTAAGTGCCATGATAAAACCAGGAAAAGAGAAATACAGAGAATGGAATGGAATGGAGATGTTCTTTTGAAGCCCTTTTTTCGATTTCGAGCCCAAGGGAATAATAATAAAATATAAGAAATGAGTCCTATTTGCTTGTTTATACTCATTGAGGTCATACAGTTTGGTTATCTTTAATAAAATAACTGAACTACAAGTAATATGAATTTAAAAATAAAATAATGGAATGTTTTCATCTTACGTGCAAAACACTAACGTGCAGCAGTTGACGACTGGCTGATCGACTTAAATTTTGAAGACTTTGAACTATCATTTCTGGATAAAGAAAGCTAATGCTCTGAAAGATACAATAATAATAAGTCATATAAAAAAGTATAATCCAATTTTCTTGTTTAAATACGCATTCAATGCAGTCTTCAAAACTGATCACCAGCTTGTCTCAATGGGAATTTTCAGTGTTTTAACTGTGCATTTATTCCTTCGATTCCTCAGATGATGCAGTTTATCAATGTAAAGATTATTACTCATGAATACTTTGTTGTTATCATCCTCTAGCATAGTATTTTTCAGAGAATGATGCTAAAAGTTCATTGATCTGGGGCAGATGAATAATAAAATTGTTCATTTAGTAATGTGAAGGTAGTTGATTCAGTATACAGTGATAATGTAGGTGCAATACGCTGAAGATTCACAAAAATAAGTCAAAAATCCATCAAATATTTTTTAGTTTTCAGTGGTTCTTATCCTGATTTTTGTCAGTGACGAATACACACTAAAATGCTGGAAATTATATACGAGAGTCATTTGTGTGAAGAGAACTTAAATGAATTGTATGTAAATACTCGATATATGCCTGTGAACTAATAAGTGTTACACAATTTAAAAAGGAACGCATCATTCCTTTGTACTCAGTTTAATGAAATATGCTAAGATATCTTTTTGAGAATTTAGAAGTTCTCAGTCATTTTTGAATTTTAACAATAGGTTGGAAGTATTTCTTGATTAATAAACCCGAATCAAAAAGTATGTTGAAGAAGGGGCAATTACCAGTGAATGAAGAGTAGGAAATTTCGCTGTGTACCTTCTGACTTACTAAAGTCAGTATACAAGTGAAATGGGAATACAGGAGAATTCTTAGATGTCTCAAATTTTACTGATAGCCTATATAGTTATCTAGCAGGTTAAATGTCACACATGGCATGGGAGATTCGGAATATCGCGAAAAGTTGAAGTGTTCTGACTGAATGCTTTTATCATTAGGAGTCTTCAACAGGTGGCTGAGCTGGTTGATTTAATTGCGAATCTTTTAGTAACCTTCTAGACAACTTCTGCTCAAACTTTAATATAAAGTGAACTTGTTCGAATTCTCCGTGAACGTTGACATAACTCTGTCTCCTGACAAACATTATGATTGGTTGTTAATTTACATCTTTATTGATCAGTTTTTTATAGACTTAAAATGTCAACTCTTTTGTCATGTGATTTATTTCTTATTAGTAGGTAAATCTGGTCTATAGGAATGTGTTTGTTAGTCACTGATTCATTTGAGCAACAAGCTTCTAGGAATTCTCTAGCATTTTCAATGTTTCCTCTGTTCTAGATTTCTGACTTCTCCTAATCAAACTGGTATCCTTGACTGTCTACATCCGTCGATACGGAAGAATGAATATGATGTCTTTTCACAGGTAATTAATGATCTTGGATTCTGGGGATGCTCGCTTTTATCAATGTAGTGTTAATCAAGGTTTATGCAGTTTGTTTCGCAAATGGTATTGATTTTACCTTCTTCCTCTGTTTGATCCTTTGGTCTGCACAACATTGAATGAAGTGATTATGTTGGTTGACTTGTGTGGTATATCTATTCCGAATGATCTAATTATTCTAGCCGTTATTTCAGAGACATTCTTTATTTATTGAAGAATGAATTTTCTCTTAGTCTTTGATGATGGCTTCTTCTTAGTATTTCGATTTCAGTTTGAACATTTCTTGATGAAACTGTATGAGCATTGATTCTTCTTGAAGACATTTAGTAAATACTTCTCTGGAATCCTCTTTAGCGGTGTGTTTAGACTCGTTTCAACAATGTTTGTACACAGTTTCTTTTGTGAGTCATTGGGCTATCGCCGTTACTATTATTATTTCATAAACTTTAATATGTTAAAATTATGCATCAAGAATAATAATCCGTAAGCTCAACGAATTTGTGTCGTATCCTAGTCAACTCAGAACGTTTATTTGCTTAACAGCGACAAAATTCTTCCCATCTCCCAGTGAGAGTATTTTATTCCTTTACGTTCTCAGTGGAACATAGGACTTCAAGCCAGAGACTTGAAATTTCCTTAGCAGTGGTGTTTACTTTTACGAAATGGGGTTGCTAGCCTCATGACCAACCTTCCCTCATTACCAGTCTTATTATTGGCTTAGCGAGATAAAGGAGTGCATCGGCCGGGGATCAAACCCCAGACCACATGTATGGTTGGCGAGCACTCTACCACTGAACCACTGACATCAAAAGTAGGAAAGTCCTGGTAAACCGTCTTGTTCAATGAACTTTGAAGAAATAAACAAATATTCGAAGAATTTAATCAAAACCTTATTTAGGTTAAGAGAAAACTTTCAGGAAAGTGTCAGTGAACCATAGCTGTGTATTGTTTCAGAATCAATTGGTGAAACTGAAAACTAACAACAAAAGTGGTCGTAAATTTGCGCCTAATTCGATTTTTAAGAAAAGTAGCTATCGGTAACTGAGAAGACACAAACTAGGATGAAACTATATATCCAAATTCCTATAAAATATTAATAGTCTAGAAGAGGAACGGCAGAATACAGGCAACCTACCGAACGATGACAACCAGCTTTTGATGTATTAGATTTTCCAAAACATTCTGTCATTTGAAACTTGACTCGTTGATTCGTTACGGTTCCATTAAAATCAATCAATCCAATAGTACTATTTCTCTTGGGTAGCTGGGAAACACGTTTTCGATACATTGCATAAAGGCACAGTTAAAATAAAGTAATCAATGAATAAAAAGTAAATGCTGACAACAAGTTACATTCTTCAATGCTATTATTGTTTTACTCATGTGAAGAATATGTCACCACAAATAGGCTTAAGAAAATGTTAAGTTTATTGAAATTGTTTTGAGAATGTAGCAGTAATAAGTCATCCTCGAGACTTTTAAAAATAAGCCGGTGTATATAAGTTACAACGGCAGAATGAAAGAACGATTTTCAAGAGTTGGTTTTTAGAAACTTGATTTGTTTCAATTTTAACCACGGATCGATATCATTTGTTAGAGAATCATTGGAAACTAGAAGGTACTGGATAGCTCTTTCGTCTCAGTTTGGAACTCATTGGTAGTGCGCACACAACACATACCTTAGTTCGAAATCAGGACCTTACGGTTACAAGTCAAGCTCGTGGACCAGTCAGTTACTGATACTCAGTTCAATAGTCATTGCGTGAATTCTGGCTTCTAACAATTTGTGATTGTACCATAACGACCAGCTAATGTCACCTGCCCGGCTATTTGTCCAAATTCTAGTGAGAATTCATGACCAATTGGGGTCCATTCGGCCAGGAGTAAGGAGTCCAAAACTGGGACTAGACAGATGTCCAGTAATCCCTGGTTTCCTGTGATACTGTAACAACTGCTGTCAATCCGTGGGAAAGCTTGAATAGAATGATAACCATCTTTCTACACTGGGTAGAATTGATATTATAACTTGAGTGCGGAAAAGCGAATTGCATATTCTCAACTGCTGATCAGAATAAAGTTCAGTAAACTGAACTGGTGATTAGAAAAGTAACAAAGTACTGACTAGCATAATAAACGGTAAGACTATATTTGCCAAACTGCGATTGACAAAACCGGTGAAGTCAGTTGTTATGCGAATTCCATCCAGTGTTCTACAGATTACCACTGTCACACTTTGTTAACGGAACTATACGATCCAGATCTCTGGACTAATAATTCAACGGCCACTGGTTTGAATCCCACGGTGACCTAGATTTTCATTCCACCACCAATAATTTCATAGAGATTAGATTCATAAGACATGTATCTTCCTTCCGGATTGAGTTATATTTTATCAAAACTATTACATAAGCTACGTTCGCTCAACAACTTGAAGTAATCTCTGGAATAAAATCCAGACTACACTCCCACATTCATATTCCCCAGTGAAATTCATGTCAGATTATCACCCACGGTAATTGTACATAGTCCTTGATGTAGTAGCAAATATGGTCCTTAATTCTTGCATTCTGAATATGTGTTTAAGTGAAATTTCGTCACTGTGGTAGTAAGCAATTCCATATTAATTTGTTTCACACATTGAAACAGTATTATTCTCTCGATGACGAAGTTTCAGACACAATTTATTACTGCTCATAATCATATCACACATTACAACTACACAACACTCACACTTTCTTCTTCCAGTTCAATTTATTCCTTCCTATTCCTCGTACGAGTGGTAGAAGAATTCTCCAGTTGCCCGTGTGGACACGTTCTCAATCATTTACAACACATGTCGTATTCTCTCTCACTTGATTCAACAAACAAAGCTTCCATCATCGATCTCTCTCTCTCTACACCCTGTTGTATTAGATTCTAACACCGTTATCTCAACTCATCCCACTGTGTTGTGTGTGTGTGTGTGTGTGTGTGTGCGTGTGCGTGTGCAATTGTATGTAGTGCTTGCCACAACTCAACTATTCTCCACATTTCTTATCTTATTCGAGTCAGTTAATCTGGATTTTGGAAGATTTCTTTACTCCACCTGTCTGATCATTGACCCTATTCTGCTACTCTCACCTATGCATTTCACCTGACAATCATTACAGCAGGGTATTAGATAAATTAAATTGTTGTGTTCGTTGGTCTCGTCGGACATGATCCTCTAACTAACAAAGTTTGTTTCTGTGTGAGATTGTGGGTTCAGATTCCACTTTCATTCTTGCCTGCATTTCTGGGAATTCTATGTAAGATTTCCAAGTTTCCTGCTTTGAATGGAAGTACTAGTGATCATTTGAATTCTTTCCTGTTGGGGTTGTCATCATTCTGTGTATTTTTGTCATGATAGTCATTGTTATTATTATTATAACCAGTGTTGTCTCGTTTTACTGATGCGAGGACTGCATTGTATCAACAAATGAAGCAGTGTTATGCATTGAAACCCTATAGGTGTTAAACAACAGTTATGATGCACCTGAAATAGAGTATTATTCCCTAATTATATTCTCTAATGTTTTTCCATCATAGTGCAAACTGAAAAATGAAATCTCCAAGGGATATGCGCCTAAAATAATCTGTCTGAGAATCTTAGACGAAAAAACCATGATGAATAACTGAAGTAAAACTCAGACTTATTGACTGATTCCGCTTAAATAGAGTGGGTAGAAGTTTTGGTTTAAATCTTAGTAATATAAACCTCTTCAGTAGCGTCCATCTATGGTTATAATATATATATACACCATGACCAGCGAGTTGACTTATGCTTTTCAAACATTTGAATCAAGAAAGTGTGTCAGGCTTACTTACCATAGTTATAGCTTCTGCAAAACGATAAAATCTTGTTGATGATGCATCAATGATCCTATTTGGTTGATTGCAGACTTTTATAGAGGAACCCGACGGCTTGAAATTATCCGGCCATCGGTTATTGATCACTAATGAGTCAAGGGCCAGTAGTGTTGACTTGACAGTTTCATATGCAGATAGGATGTCAAACTATTGAATTGCAGTTATGTTTTAATGTGAAATGTTAGGATAAATGAGAATTTACAAAATTAATTCAAGCTGCACGAGTAGGATGTGAAATAAGAGTACAATAAATACATCCAAAGAAGGCGAAATATAACAAAAACACAGCAAACCATGATACCGCTTCACAGCTGACATATTTGACAAGAGCCATTAACACAAAATTCATCTTCGATCTAATTAAGACATCGGAGCTGAGTATGATCTGTATGCCTTCCTTGATCACACAGCTAAATTCGACGCTGTGCACAAACCTCTTTCGTTAAACAAGCTATAAATCAAACTGACTAAGATGTCGTTTCCAAGTTTCTCCTCCATATTAAACAAATGAAAAGCAAAAAAAACATGTCATCACAAATAGTTCAGCTGTCCGGTGAGTACTGAACAATAAATGTAGCACATTGCTTTGGTTAATAGGTAATTTATATATGATCAGATGAGAGATATTTCGAATTTCCCGGAATAGTTTGAGCACCTAGTCAAATTAATTAACATAATCCCGGTGTAATTTGAGTGAAGACTAGGTAATAAGCAAGTGGAGTCATGCATCTAGTTCTTTGTTTACCACAAACTAAGTTCAGTCAGCCAAGTCTGCAATGCAACCGCCATTCTGATTAGCTCACCATCAGGACACGTGTCCACACAGGCAGCTGGAGAATTCTTCTACTACCCGTATGACGAATGAGAAGGAATACGTTGAACTAGAAGAAGAAAGTGTCTATATTGTGTCAATCTAATTGATGATATGACTATGAGCAGTAATAAATTGTGCTTGAAACTTCATTAACAAGTAAGTGATACTGCTTGGCCGTGTGAAATATATTGAAAAAAAATTAATGTGATTTCATCATGAATTGACGTCGACTAGAGAAACAATGGGAAACTCGGGAGTACTGGACAACTGTTTTGTTCAAATTCAAGAATCTCCATCAGTACACAGCCAACGGGGTTCGAACCCAGGATCTCCCGGTGACCAGGCGAGAAGCTAGACTACTAAGCCACTGGAACCAGATCCATTACCCAATATCACAGTCTCGAAGTTTTACACTTATAATAACAACTTTGTCTAATCGCATATTAATAATATTGTTACTAATTTACTGCAATCTTATTCTGTTTCTTCCCCTGTAGTTGGAGGTAGTTCTCCTAACTTCGTTGTATCTATATATTTTTGTGGAATCATGAATAAGTGTCAAATTCACTAGTTCAGTCTTCTCAACTATCACTAAATTACAATCTGTCACTAGTGGTATGATAAATACTCTATTGCGAACTTCTGCAAATATTAGACGGTTGAGCCCACTAGTGGCAATTTTAACTACCTTAATTACTTGCCCCACCTCCCAGTCATACCCTGACAATGAACATTTCTCGCGAAATAACTAACTCAGACACCCAACGTGTTTGAGAATAACCTACATAGTGTGAATGCAGACGACATGCACACATATCAATGAATAAACATACAGTTTATCATTGTCACCTTCATTAGAATAGTCAAAAGAGTTAGCGTACTGTATATAACTGTATCACATGTCACCGTATATAGAAGTAGAAGATCAATATACAAAACGGTTTGACTCAGCATAAATTACTCAAAATAATGCCAGAGTGTTCAGGAAAATCAAAACAAGGTATATCTGAACATTTCGCTGTGTTAGCCACAGCTTCTTCGGCAGAATTACTCAGATTTCATCAACCATCATTAGGTCTCCAAGCAAACTCGGCCGCTAGATTTTACGAAAATCTGGAAATGCACAAAATATTTGCTCCTTTGAGACCAATCATTGATTTCACCTATTCAAAAACATACACTTTGTCAGAAAACTTATCAAGAGTGCTGAAATCGCTTCAATACAGTATTCCTTCAAAAATGAGAGTGTTACATCTTACATATTTCATCGAATTTCTCGGATTTATTCTGTGTTAATCATTCAGTTATGTGTCGAAATCGTATTATTTACCTGGGAATTATCTAATACTGCAACCGACTGACTTACTAGTGTGGTGAGTGGCAACGAGATGTGAGGCGTACTCGAGTGCGTCAAATGACTGCTCTTGTGATTATAAGCACAAATTGCTAGTAATTAATAGTCTTCTCTGAGCTGGTTGGTTTAGTTGCGGAGCTTTCGTCATCTTTCTGGATGACATCTTCAGCGCAGTATTCACGATCAAGTGAAACAAAACCAACCAGCTCAGAGAACACTAATAATTGCAAATGATCCAATGAGTTACAAATCTCCATTATTTCACAAATTTCTAGTATTTACCGAACAAGATTAATTACTATGAAACAGAAATATTTGGGGTAATTTCGGCGTATTTGGAGTTTATGAGGATTTTCTGGGTAAATATTTTAGGTTTCTCGGGATAAAATGTTGCATTTCCTCAGAATTTCCCAGAAATGCCTGCCATAAAATTGCCCACGAAATCCTCCAAACTGCCTGGAAATATTTTATTATGGCTTTTATGCTTTATCATCCTCAAATGGTCTACTTCCACAAGTAAACCACCCAGCTCAGAGAGTGTAACTATATCAAAATCATACTCCTGCGCTGCAAATCTTTTTCATTATACAATAAAATTGTTTTGGTACGCGAATCATTAAGTGAATCGAGTGTTAATTTTATTTATGCACAATAATATCACCTCAGTATTGTTTAAAATGATGGGGAAACTGCTTTTACTTAACTCTCAATCTTCACTTAAGGATTTCAAAGACCATAAAAGTTGCTCACAAAAATAGTAGGTGTACTTTTGATGCCACTGTTGTCTTGATTCATGGTATTACCTCTCATTCAGAGAATAAGCGAAGTATGATCGTTGTGCCTTCCTTGATCACACAGCTAAATTCGACTCTGTGGCCAAACCTCTTTCGTTAAACAAGCTGGTTGCGACACAAGCAGAGCTGTATTAATATGTAGTCACATTCCTATTTTTCCGATACAAAGCAGTACACTGTTTACAATGGGAAGTCTCCCACTGCTTCACTCACTCCACCTGATGTTCATCAATGGGCTGTTCTTTCTCCTCTCCTGTTCTCCCCGTACTTACTTGACTAACCCCATTCTGAGAAAGACAATTTCGTTAAGAGTAACGATGGTCTGACTGTTTCCATGCAGGTTATTTTCAAATCAGACCGTTCCAAAGTCAACAACCTTCTATCAGAAATTAGTCAGTAGTGCTTGGCAGATGGTCAGAAACGAATCCCTCCAATTGTCAGGTTGTCAATTTCATTTTCATACGCATGTGTGTGACCTACATCAATTGGATAGTTGGCATGATTGTACTGTCATGCACGGTGCTGAAGTTGTGACTAAGTATGGTGTTAAATATCAGAGACTGTTTATTTCGTCTAAGAAAAGAAAAAGTGTTCAGCAAAGAGTTACTCTTTTTGGCGATATCATTCTCAAGCTGTACAAATCGCAAATTTATAGTAATTTGTCTTGGCAACAAAAGGAATATTTCCAAAGATGTGTTAATGCAATTGTTAGTTTTTGACAAACAGATTACGTAATTTTGAAGGCGTTAATCGGTTAGAAACTAAAATAAAGTTACAAAAGTAGGTTGGGTGACGTAATCTAATTGGTAGGGTTCAATGAAAAAATGAATGAGAGTCAAGTTAATAATCTGAGTAGAATTCACTTGAAAATGAATGAGAGTTAAGTTAATAAGCTGAGTAGAATTCACTTAAAAATAAACGAAAATCGAGTTAGCAACAGTCGTCATGAGCGTAGAGATTTAATAGAGGGTGGGGGTAGAAAATAATGCAATTAAGATATAGACAAACAAAGAAGAAAGAGGTAAGACAAAATTACGTATTTGGTGTTAAGATAGGTCAGGACCATTGTAGATTTAGTGACTGAACAAACTTCTTTTGTATGCAGAGTTCAGGATTCAATATGTGAATTGCCATTGCTTCTGCAGTTTGAAGAAGTTTAATTCGTACTCTTTTGGCAAGATTTCCACGTATTGTGTAGATAACTGAGAAGTTGTTCTGTGGGTTTGCTTGATGTTCGGATTCGATCAAGTGTTCTAGGATAGAGCTGTGGCGGGGGATCTTCTTTCTCCTTTATAAAACCATGAAGGTAAGTGTTCGCTGGATAGCAAACGCTGGGTACGGCCGACATACCTAGCTCCACATGAGCAGGTGAATTGGTAGATGCACATTGATGAGGCCCCCAGTGGAAGCTTATCCTTCACGTTCGTGCGAATCATTGGTTTCGTAGAGAAAGTTAGTCTGAGTTCCGCTGCGAAGAAGGTTTTCTTCAGTGAACGGCACAGGCGGTTTCTAAGTATTTCTGCTGAAGAATCTCCGTTGAATTGTAGATTCAAATAGAGAAGTTTCTTGGGAGTCTTTTCAGGACGTGCAACTAGCAAGACGCGAACAAGATGGGACACTCAAAAGATCCATTCACAGAAAACCGACATGGAATGGACAACTCATCAGCTTTCACAGTTGGGTGCCTATATATACAAAACGAAATCTGATCCGCTCACTGACTCACAGAATCCACAACATTTGCAGTCCGGAAACTATAGAAGAAGAGCTGAAGACCCTGAAAAGAATCCTTCTTGAAAACGGTTACCCGGAACGTTTCATCACAAAAGCTATGAAGCCGAAAACACAAAAACCATCCATGCTTACTGCTCCCAAGAAACTTCTCTATTTGAATCTACAATTCAACGGAGATTCTTCAGCAGAAATACTTAGAAACCGCCTGTGCCGTTCACTGAAGAAAACCTTCTTCGCAGCGGAACTCAGACTAACTTTCTCTACGAAACCAATGATTCGCACGAACGTGAAGGATAAGCTTCCACTGGGGGCCTCATCAATGTGCATCTACCAATTCACCTGCTCATGTGGAGCTAGGTATGTCGGCCGTACCCAGCGTTTGCTATCCAAACGAATCAGCGAACACTTACCTTCATGGTTTTATAAAGGAGAAAGAAGATCCCCCCGCCACAGCTCTATCCTAGAACACTTGATCGAATCCGGACACCAAGCAAACCCACAAAACAACTTCTCAGTTATCTACACAATACGTGGAAATCTTGCCAAAAGAGTACGAATTAAACTTCTTCAAACTGCAGAAGCAATGGCAATTCACATATTGAATCCTGAACTCTGCATACAAAAGAAGTTTGTTCAGTCACTAAATCTACAATGGTCCTGATCTATCTTAACACCAAATACGTAATTTTGTCTTACCTCTTTCTTCTTTGTTTGTCTATTTCTTAATTGCATTATTTTCTACCCCCACCCTCTATTAAATCTCTACGCTCATGACGACTGTTGCTAACTCGATTTTCGTTTATTTTTAAGTGAATTCTACTCAGCTTATTAACTTAACTCTCATTCATTTTCAAGTGAATTCTACTCAGATTATTAACTTGACTCTCATTCATTTTTTCATTGAACCCTACCAATTAGATTACGTCACCCAACCTACTTTTGTAACTTTATTTTAGTTTCTAACCGATTAACGCCTTCAAAATTACGTAATCTGTTTGTCAAAAACTAACAATTGCATTAACACATCTTTGGAAATATTCCTTTTGTTGCCAAGACAAATTACTATAAATTTGCGATTTGTACAGCTTGAGAATGATATCGCCGAAAAGAGTAACTCTTTGCTGAACACTTTTTCTTTTCTATGACTGAATGGGAATTTTCAAGCTACTAATATTGAAATAATCCAGAAAAACTTCAGAAATCACAAAGAACGTCTAATATCAGAAGCACTTCATATCAAATGGAATCCAAATCGCCTGAATAGGAATGATGGACTAAAACAGAATCTGACATGGTTACAACATCTCCCTCCCCCGTGAAGTGACAAAATCTACACGAATGTGATAAGCAATTTCATTATGCACACACACACACTTTTTTTATAATTTTACACACTGATCAAATCCAACAATATGTACTCGATTTTGTTATCTTTACCAATTGACAATCAAAAACGACCCCAGACAGACGAACGATGATCAAGTTAGTAAACTTTATTTTGATATCATAACAGACGTACTATTACCTTTGTTATTTGGTTTAGTGATCTTCATTGCTATTTTGACTTTCAATATATCCCTTTAAATTGACCTTAGTAGTCTATTTTCTCATCCCTTAACTCTTTGCTATATATATGCTGAGATTTTGTAAATTCCGGTTTAATAATACTTTGATAAAGCTATTAGCATTAAATAGCGAAACGTCAGTAAAAGCAACATCGTTTTGTTTTTCATTCATTGGGAAATACAAAAACCTTTATTATAATAAATATCATATACCCAATGCCCAAACTTTTTCAAACTGTTAAAAGTGAACTTGGTTTGGACATATATAACTGTTACGTTACACTTGTGTTGGAATGATTGTCTAGGTAACTGCAAGAAACTGATAGCTTACAGCACACAATTTTCCACCTATAATCAAGTTTCATTATTTTATTCGAACAATTATGCCACAGCTTATTTATAAAATGAGATAAAACTAAGACTTCTTCAGACTGAAAGACTTGGTGGAATTCTAAAAAAATAGATATGAGGTACTTCAGGTTTACTGAAGTGCAATTTGCAGTAGAACCCTTGCAGAAGTATTAAATTCATAAACGTGTACGTATCTTTATGATGATGAACGAATAAAACACAGTTGACAAGCTTCAGAAAAATACCTTGATATGTTGAATGGTGAAATAAAGGCTGACTATTCCCAGTGCCATCGAGCGATACAAATAGAAAATTCAGCGAAGCCTTTGCGATGAAGGCAAGAGTCAGTCAAGGCTGCGTGCCACCAACAACGATGATATTCCTAATTGTGGTGGACTAGATCATTTAGGTGACTATATAGAGCACGAAGGTAGAAATACATTGGACCGATAACAAAACTCTGAAAAGTTTGGGCATCTAGCATGATGTCCATGTCTAATGCTACACAAACTCAAAGATATACAGGCGAAACCAACAAACTGGCACAAGAGGCAGCCGACGAAGACAGAACATCAAGTGAAAAGAGACAAAATTAACTGAGGTGATAAAAATAACCAACTGACCAACACACCACCACCACCAACAAGAACAAAAGAAGCACCAATCAACTCTTCACTTATCCAGACAACATCATTTCAACCACAGGCACACCGTACAGATGATGATAATATCAAACCAGTCAGAATTGTAAAGCAAAACGCACCTTCATCACTCTGAAGTCAGTCGGAAAATCTGCATCACTCAGCATGAGGAAGGCGATTCGAATATTCAACACTAATGTCAAGTCAGTTAGTGCTTCTATATGTGTCAGAAACATGACCAACATGTCAAGGAAGACATTTCCAACTAGTGATTGCAGAATTTTATCAGTATTTGACTTTGCTGGCTCCATACTGAAGATAAGACTGTCTCCCAGCCTGCCAAGAATGATTAGCATCAGTGAACTCTGAGAAGGAACCAATCAAGAACCTACTGTTCAACAAATATTCTGATGGAAATGGATATGGATGGGAGAGACACTGATGAGACTGTTGTGGTACATCTCGTGTAAAGCCATCGCTCGTGTGGGACTTAAAAAAGAAATGGCGCAGAGTGTGTGTTTGTCGAGGGGTGACATGGATGAGATCGCATGAGGAAGAGGTGAGAGACTAAGGAACATGATAGAACTTGGAAAAGAGAACTGTAGGGGACAGAATGGAATGGAGATGTTCTTTTGAGGCCATTTGTTCCACTGGAAAGCCAAGGGAATAATAATATAAAGATAATTTATTCCCATTCAGCTGCATGGCCAGTCAATGCCATTTACTTTTCCACTGGTAATTACTAGTAATAATTTAAGAGATCATGACCAAAAATCACTTTTGAATAGTAGATTGCTTTAAAGTACAAATCCTGTCAGAGCGCCTCTATCCTGCTTATTCACCAGATCTACCAATAACCCAAATTCTCACTATAATTTCAATCAACAGCTATTACATCTCAAGTGATTTCAGCTAATTTCATCAACAACAAACGCCAGTGATAGTAGTAGCCGTAGTAATAGTTATTGTCCAACTTTAATTCATGAATAAGGTAACAAAAATTGTGCATTTATCAAGAAAAAAACAAGACAATTTTAGACTAACCTGTTTAACTGATGCATTATTCCATGTTTTCCCGAAATAAGTTTTTATCAACTCTGTCTCATTTTGATTACTATCGCCCAGATCAACGTTCAAACAAAACAACTTATTTCGACTATTCATTGTTAAACAGTTTTCTACTCCAGTTACTGGATTAATATCACAAATAAATGAACAGTCAAGGTTTTGTTCGTATACAATCCAATATTGTGAATCATTATGATTAAGGCTATTAGAACAATTGATTAATGTTCTTGCTGTCACTGAGTCGACTAAGACTATCCATGTTTGAGTCATTACTACCTCCTGTATATCTTCTATTAATTTCATTAATACCGATTGGTTCGTATCCTTAGTTAAAGTAAGATAAAATCGTCCAACAGACGGATATTCATAGTAATCCGAAAATAAAGTTCGTATCCCTGAGATTAAAAAAAAAAAAGATAGTACGCATATAGTACGCTAAAACGTAATATAGCTGTAGAGGCTGATAACAAATCCTAGACTAATTTGTGCTTTCAGATTGAATGCTTTGGTCAAACAAAACATGGTGTTCAATAAAAATTTGCGTCATATAAAGAAGTGTTTAAACTTTCGAGTCATTATTTGGCATGCACAAGCGTATTTTTTGTCTATTTCAGACTTCATACTACTTTTAGATAAATAGCAGAATCTTGGGCTTGGTTCGATGCAAAGGTTTTATCATTGTACAGCTACAAAGATGCTACACGCACATAGATACACTGTCATACTATCAAAATTAACAACAAATCGTGTATTGTAGCGAACGATATACAATAATAACTAGATCTGCCTAAACTAGTGTGTTCTTGGTCATAATGATAACAAACGCTTTATTTCAAACAGTATTTGTTCTGGCGCAATTATCGAATTTTCAGTATGTAGTGCGGTATTGCATTCAATTTACTCATTACACGATTAATAGTTAAAATAGGGAATTTACATTGACAATATTGTTAAATAAGAATATGAGTATTAAATTAAAATTCAGGTGGGAATAGTAACAACAATATAACAGTGAAAAAAGGAATAAAATGAGTCGTTTACTTAGAGCTCCACAGTAAGTTGGTGATTTCCTGCCTTACTTACTTCTTATCACACGAAATGAGCGTATGACAAGTAAGGTAGTGTAGTGTTATTATACTCAGTCGTTTGAGAATATAGTCTTCTACAGTTGCTTTTCGTTCCACCTGATGAGATGCAAGCGTAGAGACATTTTTGTATAGAGAGGATGCTCAAAGTGTGGTGTGGCAAGATAATATTTACTAATTGCTTGCATGAGTTCATGTATCTACCTACAACAGTATTAACCAGTTGGTTTAGCGACATTTCACCTGCCGTACTGCCTGCTGCTAGTGCCCTTCTTAGTATAACAAAGTCTGTGATAAGTAGCTCAGGAAAGATTAAGTGGGAACAGTGAAGAAGGATATGCAGTATACGACAATTAACAAGCTTAGAAAGTAAGAGCTGACTGAGTGATACTTATTATTATTCCCCTGATTTCTGAGTAGAACACAAGGCTTCAACAACACATCTCCACTTTGTCCTATCTTTTGTAGTCCTCTTCAGGTTGGACCACTATCAGCCACGACGTCTTTTCTCCTTCTCACACGATCTCCTCTATGTCACTCTAGGAAGACCCATATATCGCTTTCCACTAGGATTCCACTCGAGCGCCTGGCGGGTGATGTCATTCGATGGTCTCCTAAATCTAATCCCTATCAATCTCCATTTTCTCCTACATATCTGCTGAACGATCCGCTCCTGGTTGGTTTGTGATACTCGAATGATACTAGATTGTCTTAACTCTCCTAAGTAGAACTGAGACTAGGCGAAAAATCTTTCTGGAGACAAACAGGAATAAGAATTAGACGAAATAAACAGTCTCTGATATTTAACACCATACTTAGTCACAACTTCAGCACCGTGCATGACAGTACAATCATGCCAACTATCCAATTGATGTAGGTCACACACATGCGTATGAAAATGAAATTGACAACCTGACAATTGGAGGGATTCGGTTTCTGACCATCTGCCAAGCACTACTGACTAATTTCTGATAGAAGGTTGTTGACTTTGGAACGGTCTGATTTGAAAATAACCTGCATGGAAACAGTCAGACCATCGTTACTCTTAACGAAATTGTCTTTCTCAGAATGGGGTTAGTCAAGTAAGTACGGGGAGAACAGGAGAGGAGAAAGAACAGCCCATTGATGAACATCAGGTGGAGTGAGTGAAGCAGTGGGAGACTTCCCATTGTAAACAGTGTACTGCTTTGTATCGGAAAAATAGGAATGTGACTACATATTAATACAGCTCTGCTTGTGTCGCAACCAGCTTGTTTAACGAAAGAGGTTTGGCCACAGAGTCGAATTTAGCTGTGTGATCAAGGAAGGCACAACGATCATACTTCGCTTATTCTCTGAATGAGAGGTAATACCATGAATCAAGACAACAGTGGCATCAAAAGTACACCTACTATTTTTGTGAGCAACTTATTATGGTCTTTGAAATCCTTAAGTGAAGATTGAGAGTTAAGTAAAAGCAGTTTCCCCATCATTTTAAACAATACTGAGGTGATATTATTGTGCATAAATAAAATTAACACTCGATTCACTTAATGATTCGCGTACCAAAACAATTTTATTGTATAATGAAAAAGATTTGCAGCGCAGGAGTATGATTTTGATATAGTTACACTCTCTGAGCTGGGTGGTTTACTTGTGGAAGTAGACCATTTGAGGATGATAAAGCATAAAAGCCATAATAAAATATTTCCAGGCAGTTTGGAGGATTTCGTGGGCAATTTTATGGCAGGCATTTCTGGGAAATTCTGAGGAAATGCAACATTTTATCCCGAGAAACCTAAAATATTTACCCAGAAAATCCTCATAAACTCCAAATACGCCGAAATTACCCCAAATATTTCTGTTTCATAGTAATTAATCTTGTTTCGGTAAATACTAGAAATTTG